TACCAAACATTTAATGCGTTCTAATTAAAATATAATTTTTATCCCCACATTCTTGATGTTTTGAATCTTCTAAACCAAAGGAAAGCAGTGATTACAGTAACAGTGAACCAGAGATGAACCACTTAATTATAACGATGAAAGAAAAATAAGTAAAGCTTGCAATATCTTAAATCTGAATTTTTATAAATAAATGAAATTATGACCATTTTTTATTGTAAACTTACATGTGGAAGTCTAAAAAACACGCAGACGGGTGCTTTTGTTGTAAATCACAAACCAGACAAGGTACGGCAGTAGGTACTAGGGACCAATGGAGATTATAGTATAGAATAAACATTAAATAAACTGTGGTATTTATCATTTTAATGACGTGAAATCACATTTATCCCAAAATAATTGTAATTTATTTTTTAAAATTCTTTTACAAAATGACGCCATACACTCAAAAAAAGTAGAACTTGGCAACCCTGGTCGTTTGTTAGGAAGGATTCCAAACAATTCCAAATCACCCCACTAGGCGCGCCACTCCTCAATGTTATTGTCGAATATTGTTTTTTTTTTATTAAGTTGAAGAACCGGCGATTCAGTGCGTAGTTGTAGTTGTTCGTTGTTCAAGGGTTCAAGTAGAACAAAGCGTTCCAGTCAGCAAAAGAAGTAAATTATTTAAAGCCTTAAAGTCAGCAATAATAAGTTTCGTTTAATTTTAAACGCGAAAGAAGAAGCATTTAAATACATACAAGCCAAAATGTCGTTAATACCTTGGCATACAGCTGGTCCATCAAGAGCCCTTTTAGATCCATATTTTGGTCTTCGTTTGGATGACAAATTTTTGAATCCTGCAGCACTACCACCTTGGGAAACACGTGCACCATGGCATGGAAGATTAAGGAGACCATCACCATTGATACCTTGGCATACATCTGGTCCATCAAGAGCACTTGATCCATATTTTGGTCTCCGTTTGAGCGATGAAAATCTTCTGGACCCTCTAACAATGGCTCCATGGGAGAGATCCTACAGCTGGGACACCCTTCTATCTACTGATGCTGCATCCATCAAGGAGAACAAAGATAAGTTTGAAGTGAATGTTGATGTCCAACACTTCTTGCCTCATGAAATTAAGGTCACATCATCTGGAAATATGCTGACTGTTGAAGGTAAACATGAAGAAAAACCTGATGAACATGGATCAATTTCAAGGCACTTTGTGAGGAAGTATGTTCTCCCAGAAGATCACGATCCTAATCATATCCAGTCACACATATCCTCAGATGGTGTTTTGACCATTACTGCACCAAAGATATCTACTGATGGTACTATTCCACGAGCTATACCAATTCAACACACAGGCAAACCAAAAAAAGCCATCAAGCACCACAAGTAAAAATGTGGAAAAAACATATTATTCGTTAATCATTTAGTGTTAGAATCTTTTTTACTTAAAATTTCTTACATTGATGGTATCACCTGGAACAGGTTGCAAAGTTAAGACAGAATAGAACTACTCACAATACATACATTAGAAATATATTCGTTTGCTATGCTTGTAGTTTGTAAGTGATTTCTAAAATTACATACTCACTTTTTGAAAGAATTTGATTTAAATTTTACTTTTTGGCATATTTGTAAAATGTTTCTTTTATATTGTTTATTGATACAATGTGACATTGCTGCTGCTGAAATATGGATTATTTTGCTTAAGTATATTACTATAATCAGCCAATTGTATTTACTAACGTAGTAATAAAAAATATATTCTGAAGAATGTATTTAACTCATTTAATTTACAAAAATTATTAACAGTCACAGGTCTATGTATACAAGTATCTTAGTATTTAAACAACAATTTTTAAATGCATCATTTTCGTTTTAATATGTAAGTGTTTAACTCTATTTGGGTAATAAATACTATACAATTTTCCCCAGAAGGGTCGTAACGTAAATACCAAAGACAGTGCAACAAATAACTCCTAATGTCACATAGTTTTTTGTCTTGGGCACTCTATGAAGTGAATTTTTGAGATTGTGGGGTGTTTTTACTTCTTTCGGTCCTAGTTCACCATCATCACTTTTTTGAAGTGGGTACATTTTAAACAGGTTGTGGTCACCCTTTTTGTTCATTTTTATTTATTAGAAGGGTATGATTACTTTTACAGCTTAAATCTATGAAATCTAAATAAAAAAGTTGACAATTAGTTTTACTTTTGTCAAAAAAAAAAACAATGAAAATATTCTCTGGCCTTCTTGTTCTATTCTTTCAAAAAAATTACTATAGTACCTCAAAATGGTTTTAAATGAAGGTATTTATTCATCAAGATTAAAATAAAACAGTGGAGAGCATCTTGATAATGATCTAGGGACAAATAAATGGCAAAGGAGGAATGAAAAAGACTCGGTTATTGGTGAATAAGTAATATATTTTAATTATTTAACTTAAGTCAACAAAACTAGTGCAGATTTTATTTCATTTTTCTGATATGCTAGTTATTTGGAATAAGGAGAAATTTTTACATACATATTTCGTTTAGTAGTTTGGGTTGCATATAATGCAGACGTTGTTTTTAATATAAAAATACATATTTAAGTACAACTTGGGTTGCATATACGCATACCTGTTTTTAGTTATTTGCGATTAATTTCGTACCAGTGCCTGTTTTTCTAATATTGTTTAAAACATTTGTACCTACTTCTCGAGTACTTTACTACTCGACCGAATTTTTATCACTTTCATGTAAAACCAGGTATAATTGTTATAAATGTATATTTTATCTACAGAGAATTACAAAAGTTGTATTTTTATATTAGTAACGAAATTTGAAAAGACCGGAAAAGACGTTTCGGCAGGTTCCTTTAAAGTTCTCAAAAATTTAAAGTGATTTTTTTTACACTATTAGTCCGTGTTATTTTCGATTTTAATGAAATGTCGTAATCAGAGAATATGAAACAGACATGAGTATGACTTACGCTTATCTGAAATCGTTTTTAAGAAAGTAAAACATTGGAGTTACGAAAATTACTAATTTAAACTTAAATTATTCGTTAAAGCTAATTGTTCTTGCTAATGCTGATTTAAAAAAGATTTCTCAATGAAACGGTTGGATTAATATGTAGAATACGTTGTAAAACTAACGATAAATCGAATTTTACTTATAATTAGATAAATAATTAGGAAGACGTTAAAAAAAGATTTATCAGTACTATTGTTGTATTAGACAATAATTATGATAATCTTAATCAGCTATTCATTGATTCGTTGTTTCAGATGTACCTACACAGAATATTTGAAGGTAGAGGTGGAGATGTATTGGTAAGTAGTACCTATCATTATTTGTTCCTGCAATTATTTGTTTGCGTTTTTATTTTTATACATATTTAAATGGGAATTTAAAAATAATGATCAATGCATAATGGATGAATACCTATTAGGTATAACTATAGTAGTTATGTAATTTGTGAAAATTTCATAGAATAGGTAATTTTTAATCCCCAAAACTTCGATGTACACGTAGGTACATACATACATATTTTTATTCAGCCGGTAGATGCATAATAATGTTTAGTCAAACAGTTTTCTATTATGTATTTAAATTAATTGTTAGGGTGCTATGCTGCCCCTACTGACNCAATTTGTTACTGGCTGCTAGGTGTAACAAAAAATATGTTTTTAAAAACAAAAAATAAAATACTTTATTTTTATGCTGAGTACTTTTAACCTTTTAGTCAAAAAATACTTTATGTAAAGCCTGAAAAGGTGGCAACCCTAGCTCTATCATCAATATCTGACTTCTTTTCTAACTTATGTACCTTGTTTTTAAAGCGAGTAACTCGTGGTTTAAGTGTTGCCCAACGGTTAACGAACTCTTAATTCTTCCTCACTTATAATTAACATATTGAATCAGATTCAAGGAAAGATACAACGAAAATATTCAAAAGAAAATATGTAAAGGAAATTAAGGAAATTGCACTCACAAAAGGAGTTCCAGTTAAATGTTCAAACTCGATGGTCTGTAGCTAGGATTACCATTTTTTTTTTTTTATATAAATAAAGGACGTTGGTTATTAAAGGTAGAAAAAATAAAGTAATATTTATTTTACTTAAAAACATATTTTTCATTACTTTTAGCAACTTTTAATAAATAATTATCACTGTTAAACCATTTACAGTCTAGATTTAAGTTAAAGTAAATAAGTAGTTAATAGTACAGTGAATGAAGGTAAAAATTAACTATTACCTCCGATTTCGGTGAACCTCCATCGCTTTGCATGAAAATTTGGAATTGAGTATGTTTTACCCTTTAAATTACTTTACTTTAAATGTGACATATGCTCGACTTGCGCTTTTTACATTTTAGGGGTGAAATCTACCCCTTTTGTTAAAATTGGGTAAAATGCAGATTTAAGCATTCTGGAGTAAGAAATCTCGTTTAATTAGCTAAAGTAAATATTTTTCAACATTTATATCCTACAAAAATAAAAAAAACAAAAATCTTTTTTAAAAAATAAACTCAAATTTCGTTCTCTATTATTTTTTACGTACCTATATCGAGTATTTTTGGAGTTATTATTAAAAGAAAATGAAATTTACGAAAATTTGAAAAATTGGAAAATTTAAAAACTGTTCGCAAATAGTTAAGGATGTGGATTGTTCTAGTTTTAGGGAAATGCGAAGATTAGCTCAGGAAACAGTGGAGGTGTGTGTCCAAGCAGTCTTAGGACTGACGACCTTATGATGGTGAAGGCTTGGTCAATAAATAAAAGATTTGTGTGAAGTCAGTTCAGGTGAAGACAATAGTTTAATTTTTTTGTATGTTTCATTGTCAAAGAGATCTTGTTTTCTTTGTGCTAATCCATTCTTAAGATTATCCATAATCTCAAATATCTAAAGTTGTTATGCAATTACTTTCTAAACATTTTAAAGCTTTATTAAATAAAGGTAACATGTGACTATTTTATTCTATTTTACGCAAAAAACAATCGCCCTTCTTTTGTATATGTAGAAACCTACCGTTTTACCTATGTTATACCGTTTTACCTATGTTATACCGTTTTACCTATGTTATATATGTATATTATTTGCACGTGTGAAGCGATTGTCGGCATCCGCTTTCATGTATTGCGCCGTCTATGAAAACTAGCTTGTCGGTGTTAACGGCCGACATTCGCAAAAGGGACGAACCCACTTATAAGAATAACAAATTTGTAAGACTTTTGGGCACTTGAATCTTATGTTCCAAGCAGGTGTAGACGCCTTTTTTTAAAGGAAATACAGTTAAAAACAGCAGCACTGGGCTGGCTGCTTTTCGGAAGTAGGTGGAAATGTTTTCAGAATGAATCCTCGATGATTTCTGATTACACTGTTTCTCTAGACGGCTGTATTTTTTTTTTTTTTCGGTGTACATCCGGTTCGAAGCGCCAATGTTTTTTTTTCGAAATGTGAATTAAAGAATTAACCACTTTTTCTCAACGGGTGTACTGCCGTACCACATATATAACAAGAGGGACCACCGTATAAATAATACAAGGACATGTATATGTACATTTATTTAAACTATTTACATATAGGTACTTGATTATAAATTGTTTATGTGAAGACTTTCTCAACTGAGCCTACCTTAGAGCTTAGACTGTCAAAGTTTGCTTGAACGTTGATCTGTGTAGCATTGACTCGAATTTTGAAATTTAATATTTATGCCACCCTTCAAATGGAAGGGGGCAAGAAACAAAATTATGTGTATTAATACACACTCAAAGCAAATTTCGTCGTCTCATCGAAAATGAATATAAAATACAAAACCATTTGTTGTGCAGGTAGCGACGCACACACCACACACACCCACACAAACAACTTCGGTATTTATGATATAAATTAATATAAACAGCTGAATATAAAGATGAACCTAATATTTACGGAGAGATTGGACCAGACCAGATTTTTGAAATTTTTAAATAAACGAAATACCTGAAGGGACAAAAGAGGTAATAAAATTATCTACAATTTACAATGGAATTCTTAAACGTGGTTTTCCTAACTGTCTACTTAATGACTAATGGAGTATGCGGAAACAATATGTATTAAAAATCTAATTAAAAAATATCACGATCGCTTAAATATGCTAAAGAAAATATTTTACATTTGATTTTGAATATTTAGCGCCAAAGTAACTCACGAAACACCCCAAAATATTCCGTTGAATACATAAGTATAAACACCGATATTCTTATACGTGTAACCAGTGCGTGGCTCGATCAATAAGAATTTTAGCGGATAGGCGCAGACTTCTCCTGAACATTCTTGTTCCCACTGAAACTGTATGTACGTAGATTGATACGCTGTTTGGACATAACTTACTAAACTGTGAAGATTTATCATGTTATTATTATGTGCGTTTTTTAAACATCTATTACCTACCTATAGCTAATTTAAGTTGTAATTTAGTTTCGACGTACTATACTGTCCATTTCAACTTGATTGTTGTTATGGTTAGGATTTCAAAACTGTAAACTAGCGTTTTTCAAAAATTTAAAAATTATAAATCAACAGGTTAATATAAACGTACCGTTGACTCTATAAAGAACTTTGTTTTCTGTCAGGCAGGCACTTCGAAAACAGAAAAAAGTTCAGAAGCTAATTTAACGATATTTGTTAATAAGTCAAATCTTGGCGGTCTATTTTTTTCAACTTGAGTNTAATACTACTTTGCCCTGTGTTGACAGCACTCATAATTTCTTTTATATATAGTATTAGTTATTGGTTAAATAAAAACAAAGTACAATAGAACACTGTGGTATTCTACTGTTTGTAAGACCTATCATTAGTTGCCATTACAGGCATTCAGCTTACCTCACAATTACTACTGAAACACAAGAACAACAACAAAACTGTGTATTAATCGTAGGCGGACGAGTACATATAAGAAAATAAACAATCTTTTAAATGGGTGTCGTGTCTTAAAATTTATTATACTAATGGAAAGAAGGAAATTTTTCATCATTCCGGAATAGTCTATTATTTATTATTGAGAGCAAGGCTGAGAACTGATATACAAATATAATAATTAATGAAAAATTCATGAGGAAGAAATGACCTTTGACTCTACACTTCGTTCCGCTATAAACAAAATTATATATTGTTTACTTCATGTGAATCACCATATTTGTACAAATTGTAGGTATAATTCTTTTTCCGACTCTCGTATTGTTTTGATTCAGTAAGTTGCCTGCTGCTCACAATGACATTCAGGTATAAGTAATAAAATACATTGCATTAAATAAATGTAACAACAATAAATAAAACAAATATGCATTTATGTGCAAAGGTGTTGTTAAGGTAAGGAAGAGGGGGTAGTTGCACCGCTCTTTTAAAGACTTGGAAAAATGGATTTCGGTTATAGCAATGCTATTCCATTAATGGAAAACTAAAATTTCGATCACAATTTCTTTAAAATGGGATCCATTCTTATTTACATTTCATGCATCCCCAATTTTTTAAAATTACTTCTCAAATTTACATAGCGCTTTTACACTCTATTATCATTTAATGTTATACATTTTTATTATTTGCTTCCGATCGTTGCACCTAAGAAAGCGTTGTCTACATTCAGATATATTGCAACATAAATTTTCAAGAGACTGAAATTTAGTATGGTTAGGTACTTTTCAAACAATTTGTTGTTTCTTTCATAAAATTACCTATTAATTTTACGATATTATCAAAATTTTTCTCTCTCCGTAAGTCATGAACTTTTCAAGGTCTCCAACAATTCTCAGCATTATTGGTATGTACGTAGATTGATACGCTGTTTGGACATAACTTACTAAACTGTGAAGATTTATCATGTTATTATTATGTGCGTTTTTTAAACATCTATTACCTACCTATAGCTAATTTAAGTTGTAATTTAGTTTCGACGTACTATACTGTCCATTTCAACTTGATTGTTGTTATGGTTAGGATTTCAAAACTGTAAACTAGCGTTTTTCAAAAATTTAAAAATTATAAATCAACAGGTTAATATAAACGTACCGTTGACTCTATAAAGAACTTTGTTTTCTGTCAGGCAGGCACTTCGAAAACAGAAAAAAGTTCAGAAGCTAATTTAACGATATTTGTTAATAAGTCAAATCTTGGCGGTCTATTTTTTTCAACTTGAGTTCCATTTGCTGAGTCTGTAAATCTCTTCATTTATCACTGTATCAAAGATAAACGTACTTTTGCAACATTAGAATCAAAGGAAAATATGAAATTGAGATTCGTTATTTATAGATTTAGTGTTAATCTAAATTCTGAAATGAAATTGTAGATGCAAAGAATATTAGAATTATCATTAATATGATTAATTTAATCTAGTTTTACTTGATGCAAATTCACTGTAACATTCCAGTTGAAACTTAATTTTCACAATTTTATTGTCACGTGTGACTTCTTCAAAAGTTACGACTTGTAACTCAAGTAAATATAACATTAGGCCCCTTTTCTCCATTGGGAATTCCGAGCAAGTGCCAGAGCCCCGCGATCGATGGGGTTCCCTATAGTTTCTGCCAGATTCATTCACCAACCGGAAACCATATTTATTACCGATAAATACGTATATTTGTTTTAAGGAAATCAACCAATAATTACAAAATAAAATTGAAAATTCATTTCCAAATGTAGAATGTGCATTGAGAATTTTTTTAAACATGATGATAACTAACGACATTGGGGAGCGCTCTTTCTCCAAATTGAAAAGAATAAAAAATTAATTAAAAAGTACAATTCTTCAAGAAAGATTGACCAATATGTCCCTAATATCCATAGAATGTGTTGTGCTCAAAGACGGTCTAATTGACGATTTGCTTTTATCAAAACTTTTCATAAATATATAATTTTTAAGCAGTAACCTAAAATGCTAAAGGAGTTACTGTTCCAAGTTATATTGTAATAAATTCCGAGTCGACTATGTCACGTTTAATATATGAAATCGTAACAATAACTATAATATATAACAACGAATAGAAAATATTAGTTGTCTTCACCCTGAGAACCTCTTTTGTATTTTGCGAATAAATAACTACATTCCGACTCAGCTAATTCTTGACAATATTACAAGTATCTATTCATTTATTGTAATTGCAAAGAAACAAAAATAATTGTTCAATAAATTTAGAATTTTGCTTATTTATTCTTTATAGTTGTTTTAACAAATAGTCCTCTGTCGAAAGCCATAAAGGCCCCGTTATCCGTTACATTACATATGTCATGCTGCTGCTCACAATGACATTCAGGTATAAGTAATAAAATACATTGCATTAAATAAATGCAACAACAATAAATAAAACAAATATGCATTTATGTGCAAAGGTGTTGTTAAGGGAAGGAAGAGGGGGTAGTTGCACCGCTCTTTTAAAGACTCGGAAAAATGGATTTAATTTTTGAGATTGTGGGGTGTTTTTACTTCTTTCGGTCCTAGTTCACCATCATCACTTTTCTGAAGTGGGTACATTTTAAACAGGTTGTGGTCACCCTTTTTGTTCATTATTATTTATTAGAAGGGTATGATTACTTTTACAGCTTAAATCTATGAAATCTAAATAAAAAAGTTGACAATTAGTTTTACTTTTGTCAAAAAAAAAAACAATGAAAATATTCTCTGGCCTTCTTGTTCTATCCTTTCAAAAAAATTACTATAGTACCTCAAAATGGTTTTAACTAAAGGTATTTATTCATCAAGATTAAAATAAAACAGTGGAGAGCATCTTGATAATGATCTAGGGACAAATTAATGGCAATAGAGGAATGAAAAAGACTCGGTTATTGGTGAATAAGTAGTATATTTTAATTATTTAACTTAAGTCAACAAAACTAGTGCAGATTTTATTTCATTTTTCTGATATGCTAGTTATTTGGAATAAGATGTTCTTCCAGAAGATCACGATCCAAACCATATCCAGTCACACATATCCTCAGGTGGTGTTTTGACCCGAATCGTTCGCACAAAATGTCCCATTCAGATGAAATTATTAATGACTTAATGGCTTGTGCCGCATCTCCTTTTAAGCAGAAAATTAAATAGTAAAATTTTTAAATTTTACTTAACGCATTATTACTAGAAGCAGCGAGCTAAATGCATCCCGAAATTCTATCCAATTTTCAAAATCTCCGCTAAAACAAAACAAAGATACACTAGGCAACTGAATTAANTCACCAACGGTTACTCGTTATTGCCATAATCAATTAACTACGAATCAGATCAGGCTCTTATAACTGAAAGACTGCATTCCTGGGTTTATCCACACTGCTAGATGACCTTCTACTAGTGTATTTTATCTCTTGAACGGAAAATTTTAAAGATGACATTGTGGCTCATTATTTAGTAAATTGGACAAGGAATTAAAGTTCGAACGTAATTAAAGGAGAATCGCTTAGAAAATGCAGAAATAGCTTTTTAATATAGAGGGGGAACTAGAATTACCTACAAAGTTAATGAAAACATAATTTTGTGTGGTGTATGAAAAAGCAGTTATTTTTTTAAAATAATCCACTTAATTGCAAACTTCAAATTATATGCATTTTAGGTAAAAGTTACTTAATAAATTCTACTTTATGTTTTTTTTTTGACTCATCAAAAGTTTTTAATACTTTACCGTACTGCTCTATACAATAATAACATATATGCGATGTGTATGTTATGTAATAAAAAATGCAAAAAAAGTTTAAATACGAGTTATGTCCTTGAACCTATGTACAACCGACGAGCGTGAGGTGTTACCGTGAGAACGTATTTTACTGATTATGCATTTTTAGCATAAGTGTTGCATCTTTCTAATATGTAATAATAAAATTGTTACTTCTTATTAGTCTCTAGATTAGAGATGTCGCCTGTTTCAACTTTAAGCTTTTTACGGTTACTTAATAAAATAATTGTTTTTAAAAATAACTTTTCATTAATTGAAAAGATAATTTACGTGAGGGTTCATTTTCGATTGAAGATCAAAAATGCGAAGAGTATTATGTGCATTTATGTATGTTTGTGACTAATTGTAAGTTTTTTATAAAAAATAAAATTATATTTATA